CAGGTGTCACCGTCATCGTCTGCGTCAGCATCGTCAAGCAGCTGACTTGCTGAGCTCTCACTGTGTGCCAAGCTCTGTGCTGCCCAGTCCCATGTAGCAACTCCATCATCGCGACCCCACGAGGCCGATAACATTATTATGTCCCTTCCAGAGAACAGGAGAGTGGGGCTCCCCGAAGGCAAGCCACTTGGCTAGGGTCCACCAGCCGTGTATGGTGGAATGTGGATGTGGACTCTGGGGTCAGGCGGACGGGGGCCAATGCTAGGCTACGCTCCTCAGCAGTTGGGTGACCTTGGACTGGTGCCTGAGCTTTGCTGAGGGTCAGCGTCCTCAGCTGCTAAATGGGGGGAATGACGCCTACTCTGAGCCGCCCATCGTGCGGAGCCTTTTGCAAGCAGCATGTGCTTTCGCCCCCACAACAAACCTCCGAGGCGCAGGTCATGTTCTCCACCTTACAGATGGGCCCGGTGAGGCTCAGAGTGGTCAAGTAGCTTGCCTAGAGCCACACAGCAAATCAGAAGTGGACCTGGGATTCCAATTTGGATCTGCCAGAGTGCAGAGACTGCCCTTGCGTACCGTGCAGGCTGTAACGATTAAAGGAGAGACCTGGTGTCTCTATCATCTGGTTCTCCTCAAGTAGGACATCAGCTCCAGGAGAGCAGGGACACTGTTTCTGTTCGCCGCCAGAATCCCTCGCATATAGCAGGTGCTCTGTAAATATCCACTGATGAGCGAACCCCCCTGGTGCAGTGCCTGGCCTACAACAGACGGTCCATGAGAAACTCCACCCCATCCCACCTCCACCTTCCTCTTCCTGAAAAGCTGTGGCCCTCTCACCGCCTCCGAAGCTCCCCTCTCTGGGTAGGCGCCATCTTGGGTCACACCTGCACTCTGTGGATCTCACTCCCGCCCGCGTGTCTCCTCACCTGCCTATGGCATCTCCCAGGCAGAGGCTGGCTCTTTCTCCTCTATGAAGGGCCAGGTGCGAAGACACTTCCTTCCCATGATCCCCAACACCGTTCACACCAAGGGGTGCCTGACACACATGTCCTGTTTCAGGGGACCCCCCGCCCTCACCGTGTCCACTCAAGGCCCCCTTTGCCTAGGCCTTTCCTGACCTCAGGCTCTGGCTGCCATTCGTGGCCTGAGGGTCAATGGAGGGTCATGTCATCACGACATGATTTATTCTGCACTGAACTATGTGCTTTATATACACAAATGCATTTGCTTTTTACAGCCGTTCTTTGTGGCAGGTATTACTTTTATCCCCCCCCCCTTTTAAAGATGAGGAAACTGAGGTTCAGAGGGGGGGGCACCTTGCCTAAAGTTCAGTAAGTCGGAAAATAGAGCAGGGGGATTCAAACTCGGGCCCTCGGGCCCCAAAGTCGTCATTCTGAACCAACTGATCTATATTGCTAAGGAGGTCAGGGGCTCCGTAGGAGTAGTTGTTGAACTACTGGCTGTAATAGGATAATGATGATAGCACCCGCATTGAGTGTGGCTCAGGGCTAAGTGTTCCACCTTACAAAATGTCCTAGATAAATGTTAAGTACCATCACGATTGCCATTTTAGAGACGAGGAAATGGAAGGCCGGGAGGTTGAGTAATTTGTCCTAAGTCCTACGGGAGCCAGGATTTGAACCTTGGTTTAGCAGACTCCAAGGCGCGTGCTCTCAAAGGGGAGCCCACACTGCTGTACTTCCTGTGCCCGGACAGAGCCCGGTGGAGAAGTCTGAGTGGACGCAGGCTCGAATGCCACCCGCCCTTCCTGGTTGAGTGGCCTCAGGAGCTTCTATCCCGTGTCCCTATTGCCAGGTTCCCATGAGGCTCAGCGAGATGGTGGGACACGCTAGCCCCCTGTCACGTGGACTCTGTGCAGTGGTTTAAGAGACTTCGCGGGAAGAGGCCTTATATCTACAAAGTCTTTGGGACTCTCGGCCTCCACTTCCTCCTCTGTGGAGGAAGCAGCCTCCAACGGGGCTACGGAAATGAGGTGAGGTGGCCGAATAGACTTCATACACCCTGAGATCTGAGGCGAATTTAGGCAGGCAGGGAAAGGGAGGGAGTATTCTGGGACCCACTCATGGCCTCAGGATAATCCATGAGGTTGACCCAAATCTCCAGGATTGGGTCCAAGATGGGCCATTTCACCAAGACCAATGTTAAATGAGGTTTGTTTCTCTTTTTAAAATAGTGTTTTAACAAGCATTTATATAGTGCTTACCGTATGCCAAGCACTATTCTAAGTGCCTTACAAATTATTCATGCACTGAACGCTTATAAAATCCCTGGGAGATGGGGGCTGTTGCTGCCCCCGTTTTACAGATGGGCAAACTGGGGTTCAGGACGGTCAAAATTTGTCACACGCCTGTAAACGACACCAGAGTCGATGCCTGTCGATGCCTGTGCCAGACGCACAGTGTGCCCACTGAGCAGTAGTGGATGCTACTGTTATCATTATTTTTGCAGTGATAATAGCCATGACAAGATTTCCAGCATCCTCTGCATTTTTCTTCTGGTCTGTCTCCCCCCACTAGAATGCTATCTCTGAAGGCAGGGAGCTTGGTCTGTTTTGTTCCCTGCTGAGTTCTCGGCACCCAGCCCATAATGGGTGCTGGACGCAGGTTTGTTAGGGTATTGTCATTAACTCTGTCCACGTCAACACTGACCTGATGTTCAAATTGGCACACTGGTGAGACCAGGCAGGCACCGACCTGGGGAGGAGCAAGAGCCTTCCAGGCTTATGTGGGGAGAGGGGAGAGTTTGGATGTCCTTGCCCCCTTTCCAGCCAGAGGCTATGTAGCCAAGGGAGGAATTTCTTCCAGAGTGGTTTGGAGGGTGTGTGATTGCTTCCTGGGGAAATAGAACGGGAGGATCTGGCTGTCAAACAGTCAGCATAACAACAACAATAAACAATATTTAGATCAATGACAATAACAATAAATAGCAATTACTGTTATTCCTTCCGTTTCCAGAGCATCCATTTTCCAGCTACTTAACAGCCCTTTACCCTTTTGTTCTCCTTCTTCCCTTGCACTGGGATGCCAGGTCTGGGGGACAGGAATCCAGAAAGGGGAGGACTTGCCCTCGTCCCATTACCCAGTGAGCTGGAGAGAGGCAGAGCCTCCCATGGGGCATAATGGTAGGGGCTCTGCCCTCTTGCTGTTCCTCCCCGGGACGTGGGAGGGTGTGGGGGCAGGTGAGAAAATCAGCCACAAAGGCCTTCGGGCTGGGTGCCCGGTGAAAGGCAGAGCCCCCCGAAGGCAGCCAAGGGGGAAAGGAGGGATCACAGAAAGAGACACACACATACACCCAGACAGACATGGGGGAGTGTGTGGGGTGGGCGTGTGAAGGGAGACAGACAGAAGAGGCAGAATAAGACAGATGGGGGAGGCAAGTTGGTGAGAGAGGCAGAGAGGGACAGAAAAGGATAGACAGACAGACAGCCGGGCAGAGGGAGACAGATGGGGGGTTGGAGAGTTAGTGAGAGAGGCAGCAAGGGACCCAAACAGGCACAGACAGGAAGACAGAGGAGAGAAAACAAAAGAGAACCCCGCCTGGAGAGAGTGAGAGGGACACAGAAACTTAGAGAAGGGGCAGAGTAATAGAGATGCTTTGGCAGGAAGGGTGTCCCCATGGGTACCTGGACGGAGCAGCCCAGGGTCCTGGGAGAGCTCTGCGCATGCGCGCGCGCCCCGGGCGGGGCCGGCTCACCTGTAGGTGGAGCAGGCTGTTCTCCTGGAGGTAGAGGTACTGCAGGCTGACCAGGCCGCGGAAGATGTTGCCGGGCAGGCTGCTGAGCTGGCAGCGGTACAGATGCAGCGACTGCAGCCGCTCCAGGCCCTGGAAGGTGTCGGGCTCCAGAGAGCGCAGGTGCCGGTTGTCGCCGAGGTCCAGCTCCTCCAGGGCCTGCAGGTGGCGGAAGGTGCCCGGGTAGATGGTGGAGAGGTTGTTGGAGAAGAGCCACAGGGTGAGCAGGCTGGGCCCGAAGGTGCCGGGCCGCAGCGTGCGGATGAGGTTGTTCTGCAGGAAGAGTCGCTGCGTGCTGGGCGGCAGGGACAGCGGCACCGAGGAGAAGTTGTTGGCCTGGCAGCTCACGGTGGGCGGGGACGAGTAGCAGGTGCAGAGCATGGGGCAGCTGGGGGCCGCTGGGGGCAGGGCCAGGAGCATCAGCAGGAGGCCGGCCGAGGCGGGACCTGCGGGGAGAGGGAGGCGGGTCTGGGTGGGCTGCGGGCCAGCGCGGGGTGCGGGGGACACCTCACCGCAGGGCTTCTCGGGGAGGGGTTCTGGGTGCATCCCTAGAGTCGCGAGAAGCCCCAGCCACTTCTGATTTTTGAGGCTCCTGGTGTGTTAAAAAATAAAGAGATGCCAAGAGGGCACTGTAGACAGCGAGGTTTAACGTTGTTTGACGAGTGGTGGTCTTTTCTCAACTGGTTCCACTGTGGTAGGTTTGGCCATGTGGACTGCCAGGGCTCCCTCCCCCCCGCCCCGCCTCGGTGTGGTGCGCCTGATGGTTCTTTGCTGCCGGGGGCAGTCCTATATGATGTCCTATTTCGGGTATTCCTCTACCCGCTAGATGCCAGTCACACCTGCCCCCTGGTTATGATAACCAAAATGTCTCCAGACATTGCCAGATGTCCCTTGGGGAGTGAGTCGCCCCCATTTGAGATCGGCTGGAACTAAATTGAGAGCCTTGGTGAATCTAAGGCCTGTGCATGGTGGCCCTCTCTGGCTGACCTGGGGTCTGGCCCTGCAGAATCCACTGCTGCCTGCAGCCCCCTCCCTCACCTGCCGGCAGCTTTCACCTTTCACCTTGGAAGAACCAGGGCCTCTCCAAGCTGGAAGGCCCCTTAGGGACCAGGGGCAAGTGCATTTCTATCTGGGGCCAGCGGCCGCCTGCAACAGAATCAGCTGGGTGGTCCTGGAAAGATTGCAGCATCGGAATTCCTGGGGGCAGCCTGGGAATCTGCATTTTTATACCACACGCTGTTCTCATTCGAAGTCACTTAAAGATGCATATACGTATATATATTTTCAAGCAACTTGAATACTGGAAATAGCTCAGCCTTCTTATGATACGGATGGAGAAGCAGGCCTAAGGGCCTGGGGCTAAAGAGCCGAGTCTAGGTCCCCTGTATCCCTGTGCAGGACCCCCTCGTCCATCCCTGTCCCCTGGTCTTCTTGCCCTCCCTGCAGCTCCTAAGCTTGTGGACTGGACCTAGCTTGACCTCTGCCCTTTACCATGACTTCCAGATGACTCCTGGGATTTTCTGCTGGCACGTTGGCCTGGGGTGAAGGGGAGCCTCCACCCCACAACCCGGACACTGATTCCCTGGGCACACATAGACTGAGAGCCTTCTGCTTCAAGCAATGTATTAGGCCCATGAAGGCCGAGGGGAGGGAGATGGGTGCTTGGACCCAGGACCCGAGGTTTTCTGGGCTTTCTGGGCCTCAGAGACTCCAGGGGAGAGACCGAGGGTCTGTGAGTTTAAGTGGTGCCTTGTGCTCTAGAGGTTGCCGTGTGGCGTGTGTGTGCGTGTGTGTGCGTGTGTGTGTGTGTGTGATGGTAGGCAAGGGGTGTGGCGTGGGTATCGTGGACCCTCTGCCACGCCTCCTCGCCTGGGGGGGACACACAGGTGCGGGGGCGGGAGACCCCATGCCTGATGTGTGCGGTGTTCCTGTTCCCCCACCTCCGGCGCCACCCCAACTCTGACCGGGCCCCTCCTGGCGCTGTGGGGTGCGAGCGTGCGAGCGTGTGCCGGCTGCACTCCGCGTGTGTGTGAGTGCGGCCCCGTGCGTGTGTAGGCTGGGTGTGATGTAATACTCAGTGACACAGCGGCTGCTGTTCCGTTCCTTCACACCACCTCCGCGTTTCTCGGCCCTTCTCACCCCTCCCCCGTGCGGCGTTTCACGATTACTTTCTCCTCCTGAGTTTTTCAGAGCCACGTGGGGTGGAGGGGCGTGTCTCTCACCCCTCATCTGAACCAGGCGGGGGGCAGGGAGCGCAGGAGGGAACCCTGGGTGGGTTTCACGAGGACTGAGGTTTGGGGCTTAGAACAGGAGATCTCAGAGCTGGAAAGGTCCTCCAGGCTCATCGGGTTCAAGTTCTTATTCTATGGAGGGCACATTGGGGCTCAGAGAGGGCAAGGAACTTGCCCAAGGTCACACAGCAAAGTGGTTGATGGGGCAAGGACCAAAAAGGAGTCTCCTGATGCCTGGCCAGGACACTTCTCTTCTTAGCAGTCCCCCTCTGAGCTTGCTTCCCCAAGGACTTGACACCAGGGGAAGTCAAATCCTTTTTCTGATCCTTAATCCCACCCCTTATCCACAAGCTCACAAGAGAGTGTGAGCTCTGAAGGCCACAGCCCTCCAGAGGATTAGGGAGCTCTTCCCTCAGCCTCCAGGGCTGCCCGGTATCCCAGGAGAGACAGGGGAAGGATGTGCAATCCCACCGCTCTCCAGAGTCAGGGGCCACTCACTGGCCCCAGGGTGTCCTCCAGCCTAGAGGCCAAGGGTGCCGGGGCTGACTCACAACTCCCTGGCCCCCAGCTTGCCCACATCAGGGGGCTCCTCTCTTCTTTCCCCACGCCCCCTCCACCTGCCCCTGTATCCGCCCCTCCATCACGGCCCACTGCCCCAAGTTGGAGCTGGTGTTCCCTGCAGGGTCTTTGAGGAGGGGCCCTGAGCAGGGGGCCCCTCTGTGACAGCTGCTGCGTAACAGTGACTCTGTTACCATTTCTGGCCCTCTCTGCCGTGCAAAGCAGCTGTAACCCAAGGAGCCTCATCCATAATTCAGGCTGCGGCTCTCACTGGAGGCAAGGAGGAGGGGAAGGTGGGGGGCGCTGGGTTTCTCTGCCCCCCACCCCTGGCCCTTGCTGGAGCGCTCCTGGGCAGAGGCAGTGAGGGCTGGCGGGCCGCACCTCTCCCCCTCCTCCGCCCTCGGTCTGTGCCCGTGGTGTGAGCCCTTTTTCTTCTCGCCACACGGTCCCTTCCCCACCCCCTGCTTCCCACGGCTCCTCACCATTACTCCTTCCCTCCAGGCCTTATCTCCTTTCCCTCCCTGAGGACCACATGTCTGCTCCCAGCTCCCATTTTGTGACTCCCTAGCAAAGGCCGGGGCAAGATACACAGCGTCGGAGCTGGAAGGGGGAGTGGGTACGTCAGTGGCCAAAACCCTTATTTCACAGGCAGTGCCACTGAGGGCCGGAAAGGGGAAGGGTCAGTTTCTGAGTGAGCAGCTCAGGCCTCCTGACATGAATGTCTGGCAGTCTGCCTTTAATATCTTTCTTGAAGCCTTCAGTTCACTGAAGCCCTCACTACTTATAAGGGACGGAGGAAAGCTGGTGGTGACAGCCTCCCCCACCCTCTTGGCTCACCCGTCCTCTCTCTTTCCTCCTCTTCCTTTTTTCTAAAGTCAGCAGGTGATGGCTAGAGCCGCAGGGGAGCGCAGAGCAGGGGTGGGCAGAAGCCATCTGTCATTAAGCACCTACTGTGCTCCAGGCACGGTATTTCTACGTAGAGAAATAGTGTCTTTACGCATACAGTATAATGTAACATAACCCCGTGAGGTCAATATTATTGCCCCCAATTTTCAGGCGAGGGGAGGGAGGCTCAGGCACAGAAAATGAGTTGCCCCAGGTCCTGCAGCTGGAGACCCCATATCATCCACAGAACCCACACCTGAGTGTGACAGTCACTGCCCTTAAGGTAAAGGGAGACAGAAACTGCACCCAGGTGCACGGGGCTGGGCCAGCCATGATGCCCTTCCGGGTGAGAGCAAAGAAGGGACCCAGGCTCTCTGCAGATTTCCTCTTCTGGGCTCCAGCTTGTGGCTACTTTAAGGGATGGCCCATTTTGGAGTCAAAAAGGAATGACTAGTGTCCAAGAGATAGGGCGAGGATTGACCTGCCGGGGGAGCGGAGAGAGGCCAGTACATGGTATCGATCCCGGAAGGCTGAGGGGCCCGGAGCCAAAAAGTATCCATTCACTGAGAGACCATTGTCAAGGACTCTGGGCTATCACCCTGGAGTACCAAGGCTCAGGAACAAGGTTCTCACCCCAAGAGCCACCTTTTAGTCCTGAGGCTCTGGTGAGAGAAGGAGCTTGAGGAGGAGGAGGTGGATGGACTCTGGGTTGGGGGGCAGATGCCAGGGTGCTAACCCAGCGGGCAGAGTGGCCCCGGGAAAAGATGCCCCCTGGAAGGGGCATCCAGGGCTCTGGCTCTGCGGGAAGGGCACAGGGTCCCAGATGAACAACAAACGGTTCCAGACCCAGAAGGCTGGGAAAGGGCTGCGGCCTGGCAGGCAGATGCTGAGGGGGGTAGGGGCTGAGGAGGTGGGGGCGCAGAGAAGGATGGAGGTGGCAGTGATGCCTGTGACGCAGGGGCCTGGGGAAGCACTGATGCGGGTGACGGAGGGTTAGAGCTGCTGCAAACAGCTTCTCACTCTGCCAGAATGTGACACCCCAAAATAAGCAGCCGCCAGGGTGGTGGTGGCAGGATCCGACGGCGGGGCCCAGAGATATAAATGGCAGCACGCAGCCAGCCAAGGTGCCCACCTTTGGAGGCTGCCACCCCACTCGAATGTCCTCACCCTTGCCCCCTCACAGCTGCCTCCAAGGCCCTGAGCTCAGAGCTCCCCAGGCTGGCCCACCGACCACTGCCTGGGAGAAGGGACGTGCCAGGCAGGTGCTTTGGGAATGGAGGGCTTCCCACGTGGAAGTGGTTACCAGAAGCCTCTTTGTCTCATCCCTAGGCAGCCCCCTCTGGTACCTCTCTCCCTTCTAGTCCCCTTCCTCCTCTTCCTTCCCTCCTTCCTTCCCAGCCCCAGCCCCAGCCCCTCTCCCATTTATGGTTCGCTATGTGTGATCCTGGTGTTCATCCTGGACCCTCTTCCCGGCTCCTGACACCCCATCTCCATCCACCACCCCTTTCTGGTTTCTAGGTTCCCCATCTTCCCACTCTCCTTTCCTTCCTGGTCCCTAGGGTCCCAGCCTACCTCCCTCTTTCCCATTACGCATCCTCCTTTCCCGATTCTGGGTCCCATTCCCTCGTTTTCTCTCTATCTCCCTCCAGACCTGGTCTCCCCTCTCCTTCTCTCTTCCTCGGGCCTCACCTGGGTCCCACTTCCCTCCAGGTTTTTCCCGTCTAACCTTTATTCCTCCTCCTCTCTCTCCGTCTCTCCCCTAAACCACTTTC